TTACTCCCTCATCCTTGGAGGATTCCTTGCCATTGAAACTCAGACCCTTCGTTAATTAATTGAGATTGCTGTGAACACAGATGCGCTCAGTAACAGCACCCTTAGCAGACAGCCCCCAACCTCAGTGCCCTTTGCACTGGTAAGGAGCATCGTGCCACGTGTGCTGCAAATGCCATCCCCATCCTGCAGCGAAGGGAAACTGAGGCATGGTGCTTTGGAGATGCAGCAACATGGAGCTGTCTCCAGGGGCAAGGGCACATGCCTGCTCGCCCACAGGAGGCCCAGGACTGCCTTGGAGCTGGTGGTGTGTGGCCAGAGCCTTTGCCTTTGGGCTTCTAACACCAGAATCACTAGGCAAATGCATCAGAAATCAGGAGGATCCTGAAGGGGAGTGGCAATGGGGGAGAGCCCCGCAGAGGTCAATGTAATTGAAACACCCCTCCTTTTTCCAGGACACACAGTCCTCCCTTTTCCCACCTGCCCCAATTCCCCCCCCACCCCCACATCCCCAGTACTACACAGAGGCCGGAGCCATAAGCATGCGCTCAGCCTCCAGGAATGTCAAAAATCACTCCCAGATGTGAGCCCCAGGCAGGTCCTGTGCCTGCCACCCCCTTGCCTGAAGCCCACCTGGAGCAGAACTAGCCTCAGCGAGCCCAAGTCCACTGCTGCCAGACAAGCCAGCCATGTTGCCCATGGTCAGGGATTCAGCTCTCTAGGACCATGTGCCAGGCAGGCTTCTCGAACACAGCTGGGCAGTTCTTGCTGGGGCTGGGGAGGCCCTCATTCTACTCCTCCATCCTCCTATTATCTAAGCAATGCCCCCAATCCAATCACTGCCCCTAGCACAGAAGCCAGGAGCACCAGAAGCCAGCAAGCTGGCTCTGAGCTGCACAGGCTGGTCCCTCCCTGCCTTCTGCCTTTACCCTGCTTGGGCCCCAACCCAGGGCAGCCCTTTCTCCCTGTAGCACCTAGTTTTCCCACAGCTGAGAAGGGCTGGGATGCAAACCCAGACCAAGATGGCTTTGAGCTGGTTCCGACAGCCATGCTCACAGGGCAGAGCCAAGCACCAGCAGGGGGCACAGGCCATGTCCTAGAGCAGCGTTTCTCAACCCAGGGGTTATGACCCAAAAGTGGGTCACAAGAATATATGAAAGGGTCACAAACAACCTTTAAAAATGGATCAACAACTTTAAAACTGCATTCTACTTGAAAGGAGAAAAACGTGGGAAACCGTGGCTTTTCTCTTGCAGGCTGACAGAGTGCCAGCTAGCAAGGGGCTGCACGGGGCCCCCCATGCCCTACACACACACACTGCCCACACATTGCAGGGCTGGAGCCTAGGGCAGAAGGTCAGGAGTGAGAGGCACTGGCTTAGGACTAGCCACTGATGTTTTCAAATGAATCCTGGTCCAAAAAAGGTTGAGAACCACTATCCTAGAAGACCGAGACGCAGACCTCTTGGTCTTCCCCTTCCAGTAGAGACAATGCTCTCAAGGGGCCGGAGATGCTGGCAGCAGGCACCTTCTTTATCAGGGTCCTGTTATCCCATGCCCCCCTGCAGACATGGGCTACTCTAACTCTACTTCATCCATCCTGGGTGGCAGAGGGAGGAATGCACAGGGCACCTGTCTTCTAAGAGACCGTGGAGAAGGGGACAGGGACAGACACACAGAAAAACAGGCCAGAAGGAAACCACAAAGCAAAGCAACCGAAAGCCCCTATCCCAGAGCCCAGGTGCCAGTGCACCAGTGCTCTGCTCCTCTTCCCTTCCTCCCTGCCCCTCCCAGCTAGGTTCCACCAAACACACCTTGGACACTGTTGCCCCACCCCACAGCAAGGCAACCCTGTATTGATCAGAAAGAGCCAGGGCCTCCCTTGGTGGGGTTGCGCAGGGTCCGTCCCTCTGTCCCAGCCCCCACACACGGCAGAAGTCAAGCCGTGTGGAAACGCTCCCTGTCAGATGGAATCTGGGTGCAGGCGGTGACAGCCCAGCACAGGGAGACGGCTGTGGCAGCCCACGTGTGGCCTTATATAAGAAGAGTGCAAGAGAGGACAGGCTACACAGGACGAGGGTGTGGGACAGGATGCCCCCACAAGGCTGCAGTAAATGGGACTGCCAGGGACACAAGGGATGCAGGTGGGAGCCAGGATAAACACAGCAGGGAGGGGAAAAAGCATCCAGATCCTCTGAGTCTGAACCAGCCCTGGTTCACAGGGTATACATGCATGTGTGCTCAGTCTTAGGGCATGTGCATGTACAGCGGTACCTGGAAACACATGCTCATGTACCAACATGCACACACAGGCCACTCAATCCCATCCTGCAGCCCCTGCCAGTCCAGCCCTGGGATCCCCCCCATGTACCCAGCTCTGCCAAGGCTCCCCCAGCCTGAACTGCTATTCCCTGCTACGCAGACCCTTACAACTCTTGTCGTGCTCCTCACTCCTGACCCACAGCCACCAGCCAGCTCAGCCCTGGGCTCCCAACCCATCCAGGCATCACCAGAACTATTCTAAAGTAGGTGACTGAGGGCTAGGAGGCACTGGGAAGGAGATTTCCCATAGATGCAGTTGTGGGCAATTCCCTCTGCCCGCAGCAGCTGTGGCAGGGCCAGGGTGGCTTCGCTCCAAGTTGCTAGGGCTCTCAGGGAAGGCCCTGCTCCCCCCTCTTCCCCCCGCAGCAGACTCCGTCAGTGCCAGGCACCCAGAGCCCCCCTGCACTATGCAGGGGGTGATTAACGGCTCCGGCAGGAGGCTCCGTCGCCAGCACGAGTGAATCAATTTGCGCCATCGATTTTTCATCCACTGCGGCAGAAAGCGGGAGCTGAAGGGCCGGCGGGATGACAAACGCGCCTCCCGCCAGCACTGAGCCAGCCTGCACCCCCCGCCCCTCACACCCTCAGGTGCCAGGTCCCACAGCACCCCCTGCACCACAGAGGGGGCTCTGCACACTACAGTGGACCCTCAGGGCAAGTGGGCCCCAAGGGGTCACACCCTCAGTGCTGCAGGACCAGACCCTCTGTTCCAAGGCTGGGGAGGTTGGAGCGTCAGAGGGAGTCACCTTGAGCCAGTGCCAGACCTCACAGCCCTGTGGTGGAGCTGCCTCCAGGGAACAAGAGCCCCAGTGCCTGGGGAGACAGAGAGAGGACTCCCAAGGAGCGCAGTTCAGCGGCATGCAGTAGGGCAGAAACCCTGGCAATACACTCCCCAGATCTCCTGCTTTAGGAAATGCCCCAGCCCCCTGCAGGCAGCCAGGAGAGGCAGGAGCCAGCCCCATGCTGGTGTGCGCGTGCGTGCGTCCAAATCAGCCCAATCACTTCCAAATTCTATCGACTGAGCAGAGCTCAGTCATTCAAGTCTGTGTGGTGCTACCAACAGCAAGCTTCTTCTCTCCCAGACTCTTCAGTCTGGGGCTTCAGATACTCCTAAATCCAAGGCAGGCATCCTGTGTGCAAGCCCCAAGCCCGGAGACCTTGGAGTGCAGATGTCCCTGTGTCTCCAAAAGGCCAAAGGAACAAGCTAGAAGGAAAGCCCAAAAGCAATCTCCTGTCACCATAAATTGTGTAGCCAAGATCCTTGCATTGGATCCTTGACTCCCACAGGGATCAGCCTACCCACAGTGCAAGGGACAGGTCTTTGCCCTCCAACTACACTGAGTCATTCAGAACTGAGAAGAAGGGAATCTCCCCTGCCAGGTAAGTAAAACCACATGGGCTGAAAACCACCTAGTTGCAGCAGAGTACAGGGGATGGGGATAGGGCGCAGCATCACTGTCAGGGGATGTCAGGCAAGGAGGCCCCTGGAAAATGATCCTCGGTGCTCTAGCAAGAACCCTCTCCCCAGCAACTGCATCCAGTGCAAAGCCAGGGGGTCAGGAGGGGTGGGGGCTGGCATGGGGAGCCCCCACATCCCCAAGAAGCAGCTTCCCTGTCCTGCACCCACAATGGTCTGTCCTGTGGGAGCTGCATGGCAACATTCAGTCACTGCCCCAAGGGCTCAGGGGCTCCAACATGCCAATGCCCTGCCTAGCCGCACCAACATCCTCCTCAACCAGTATCCTCCCAGCCACTCCAGCGCCCCCACCCTGCCTGCCAATATTTTGCCTGCACGTGCTCATGTCCATGCCCTGCCCAGCTACCCCCACCATACTTAGATCCATGTCACAACGGCCCTTGTCCTCCACAGTTAGTGCCAGCAGCACTGCTCAGCTGGTAGCTGGGCACAGTTTCACCAAGGCTGTGCCAAGGGCCACCCTTCCCCTGCCTTTCCTACCTGCTGTCTCAGAGAAGATCCACAGACCCCACTGCCCCCACATGCCATGGTCCCAGTTGTACCAAGGAGCTGTGAGACCGAGAGAGAGACATGGGGAAGGAAAGACTGTAAGGGCCTCATCTTCTGAGGAAGGGGGTTCCCCCCTTCCCAACTGTCCCCAAAGTACCAGCCCTGGTGCCCACATTAGGTAGAATAGACATTCCTCCACCTGCCCAGGGCCCAGCAGACATGTGGGAGGGAGTGGGGGCGGGGTGCAGGGTGACCCCAGGGCTGAGATCTACCCCTGCTGCCTCCCGACCTCCACTGTGCACTGGCAGGAGGCAGGGGACACTTGCAGCAAAGAGCCAGCCAAGGTTCAACACTGGCCCGGCCTTCCCCAGGGCACTTTTTCCCAGGGCACGTGCAGGGTTTGCGCAGGCTCCACAGAAAGAGTGGGCCTTCTCGTGATGTGGGGGCACGCAGGAGGGATGACTTGTACAAGGGCTGCTTTCATTACAGGAGACAGGCTCTCCTCAGCCATAGTGGGGGGTGGGGGCTGCTTCAGTTCAGCCACCCAGTTCCTTGACTCTGCTGGGAACACTGGAATGGGGGGTGGGAAAGGGCAGGGGTGCTCCAGGGGTCCTCTGTGGCCAGTGCTCAGCACAGCACCCAGCCCTCCCCCTCCACTGCAAGAGCTGGGGAGCAGCTTAGGGAGGGGCTGTCTGTGGGGCAGCACCCCCCACCCCACCCATAGGTAATGGCAGGGCAGGAAAGGGTTAAGAGTGCCTCAAGCCTGAGGAGCCTCCCGCAAGGGGAGCAGAGGCAGGGACAGGGGTGGCGGGGGTCCATCGGGGCGGGAAGCGGGGTGCAAGCCAGGATCCTGGCAACAGCCAGGGAGTATAGCAAGGGGCCCGGCAAGGGGATGGGAAGAGGCTGTAAAACATGTGGAGTGGGGCCAGAGCAGGGGAGACACCATCTTCCTTCACCACCCCTCTCCTCCGATCCTCAGGCACCGGGGTCCGTGCTGCCCTTCTCTGCCCAGCACAGGCGATGGGGTAGGAGGCTTCCATCCTCTGCCATAATTTGGACTAACTTAATGCCCTTGCCCAGGCAGCACAGGGTGGGGAGAGATCTCAGTCCCCTGCCTGAGCACACGACTGGGGGACTGGGCAGCAGTGGGGAAGAAGGCTTAGCCATCCCTGGGTTCCTGCCCCCTGATGGCCCAGAGCTGCCCCAGACTCAGTGGGAAAGCCCTACACTGGCCCCCAGCACCACAGGAGAGGGCTGCCTCCCCCAGCTCAACCCAGGGTAGCGTTTGAACAGTCGCACACTGGAGCACAGCCCTGCTCCCTGCCCACAGTACAGACCAAAGCCAGCCTGCCCCTCCCCATGATGTGGGGGGGGGGGGGGGG